AAGGACACAATCGAACGCCTTGGATAAGTCACAAAAAATGCCCAAAGCATCGCTTGAGTCCTCCCAAGCGTCATATACGTGATTAAGAAGTTCAACACCGGCATCAGTTGTTGAACGACCCCTGGTAAAACCAAACTGGTTAGCATGTAACAATTTATTTCTATTAAAAAATCTTTGCATTTGATTAAGAATAATTTTTTCAAAAATTTTACTAAATGAAGGTAGTATTGAAATAGGTCTAAAGTTAGTGGGGTCAGAAGTACTACCTGATTTAAATAACGGTGTTACTTTACTATTTTTCATAAGATCAGGAAACACACCACGGTCGATACAATTATTAAAAATTAGAGCTAATAGAGGTGCTATAATAGCTATAACCGAGCTGACAATGTACACAGAATTACCCCACAAATCTGCAGTCTTTTTCTTATTTAAGGTATGGAAGGTTTTGACAATATCTGTGTAATCTATGTGTTCAAAAGAGAACCCTTTGCTGCAAGCTATAACATTTTCTTTTAGTAAAGATTCTGCAACAGTGGGAGATGAATTCAACGACTTAGTCGTGGATATAGGAATGTCCGAAAAGAAACTTTCAAATGCAGCTGCAACTTCTGCGTCTGATTTTATTACATTATTATCAATTAGAAGACTATATTCATTACTTCTCTTTTTGGACCTTCCCGTCTCACTGTTAATAATACTCCAGGTCGCTCTGATGACATTGGTACTGTTCTTTATTTTGGAGCTCAAGTACCGCGACTTTGCAATAGCGCAGACCTTTTTAAACAATTTAGAATATGTCCTAACATATACATTAAATTCGATTGTGTTAATAAATGTCCTCTCACTATATAGTTCATAGAGACGTTTCCTACTTTTATAGATGCCAGTGGTTGCCCATTCATTGAAAGATACATTGCTATTAACTGGTATAGTTTTAGGTGTAAAGGTAGATTTAAACTCGGTATGGTACATATTAAAAAAATCATCATACAAATTATTAGGATTTTTATTCATCAACAAAGGTAATTTTTCAGTGACTTTAGATTTGAAGATTTCAATGCGTCTTAGCGTGCGTGTTAGCCCCCACTCGTAAACTTTTCGATTCGTTTTATCTAAGTATTGTTTTATTACACGCCAAAATAATTAAATACGTGGCTAATAGTTTTCATTACTTAACTTACGGACTTATTATATTTTTAATTTTCATACCCTGTTATCATCCCAATTCTTTATTAAAAAAGACGTTAAGATAAAAAAAAAACACAATATATACTAATGACCGTATCTAATTGACATTAAGATATTAAGATTTTATTAATTTCAACGTCAAGCAAATCCAATAAAGAAGCAATTTTATTACAGATGTAACAAGATAGCCACTGTTTTTAGAATCGGTTGAAAATGTACACAAAGCGATGCATTCGGCTTCACACATGCGTTTATTTTCGACTTTCCCGATGAAAATAAATAAATTTTTACTAAGTTCATTTGAGTAAGCGTTAATTATTTCAATTAATCTATTCATAATCTTTGTATGAACATCGACTTTTGACATTTCATTCAGAAAAGGGGACCGATTTTCTTTATATCTTCCATCTCTTGCTCTACCTATAAACCAATCAAAGAGTGTGTAAGAAATGTAAGTATTTTCAATAGGATTTTGCGGAATTCAAGCGCGATTATCTCTGCTCATAGACGAGAACAGTATTCCAAAATAATGTAGTTGAGCTTGTGCTCTTAAAACAGTATACACCGGAGTGAAATACTACCTCGATCTTCGATTCGCTTTTCAGATGTTGATGTAACCTTATAGATAGATAATCGCGAAGTTGAAATTAACTCGACTAATTTTCTTTCATTAAAATCTAGGTGACCCGGCGAACGTTACCTTTTAGCTGAACTAATTTAGGCTTTGATGAACGTAATACAATGATACAATATAAATATGAACATAGATAGATATAATAGAAATATTTTATTATTATGAACAATACATACAGTTTATTAGGGCGAGTCGTAAGTTCGTTACATGGGTGCTCGACGCATCCACGTCCATTACAGATAGGACTGCTGCTGTTTGGAAGCTATCACAGTCATGGTTCACTGTACAAAAAACTTAATATGCTATAAATTGTGTCCTGGAGTTCCCTATTTATCTACATGATTTTATTAGGTCCAGCTGTAAGTTCGATACATGTATAGTCGACGTGCCTACGTACGCCACTGATTTGATAACTGCTGCTTAGTATTTTGCCCACTATCCTTTCTACTAGGTTTATACCATAATATTCATTAGAAAACTAGTTTGTAATCGCTTAAATATTTTCATTCTTACCTATGCGTGTACCTATATGAAAGAAAACTGGAAAGATAATTGGTTATTAGATTTCTTAATAACGTCATGACGACTAAAGGTCAAGAGGCCGGTTCCGTTTTGTTTTGACCTGTGTGCGGTTTTGCACTAGTATGTCAAGATGTTTATCAAGTATTCAAGTGATGTACACAACAACAATATGTCAGAATGGGTGGAGAAATATTTGTGTAACCCACAATAAATCATAGTTAATTTAATAAAGAGGACATATTGATTGCTCTTTTATATCATTCAATACGGTTAGAAGTAATGTTTAATAGACATCAAGTTTAGCATAATAATGTATAGGCTAAATTTTTTTATGTGATGTATAGATGTTTGGACACTATCTTACGTTGACCGAAGCTACTGATCGGATTTAACACAGAGATAGATTACTTATGCCCGGAAAAACATATTATTATAGTACTTTTTATCGTGGTAGGGCTGGCGAAACCGCTAGTTGAAGACAGTTTATAGTAGTAACATTTTGCGGTTTGGTAATGAATCATAATCTACTTATTCATAAAAAAATTGGCGACTAGCTTGTTCTTAAAATAGACGTTGAAGTGACTGTTGTATCTAGAAGACTTTAAAGTGGGGTCATTGGACCAGCGTGGGAGAGCCATCGGCACGAATAGTCTGCTCGACGGGAGTAATACCACGGCCTCACATGAAACCGATGTGAAACAACACTTGCGCAGTGCTTTTGCGAAGCAGTCATGCTAGCTAAGGAGGAGGCGGGATGCGTGAGGCAGCGAAGCACTGCCTCCTCGCAACCCAGCCATCGCGAAGGACACACCGGGCGTCGGGGATCGCGAGACGATCTCCGGCCACCGTAAGCGCGGGCCTGCGGACGGCGAGCATGGGTGGCTCCCCGTCCGACCAGAAACAGACCCGAGCGTACGGTGCGTCGCGTTCCGCGCGCGCCTCAAAGAGCCATCAGACCACCACAGATGGGGCCCAATAGGGCTGATGCCGATTCGGAGGAGAAGGAACGGGGTCGTTTTTAGTCAGTAAGAGTCTGACACTCCCTTCCGCCTCACCCAGGCGGGAGCAGTCAATCGATGATTTTCCACCCTTAAAAAAAAAGTGCTTTGTGTGAGTGAGGTTACCGGAGGCCCCATTAACGCCCTCCCCAATCCCCGAATCCCCAACAATCCTCTAATCCCCAAGCAAAAGGCCGGTAACGCACTTTTAACACTACAACTTTTTCAGATGAGTCTCATGTTGATCTTATTGCCATATACCATTGTAAATTAATGGACATATAATGGTTCCTTAACTCGTCGAGTACCGTCATTATAGACACAATTATAGAACAATAGGTTGCGGTCACCGGTGACCGCTTGGTGTTTGACAGTTTAACTGATCCATTCAGGGAATCCGAATACCCTTTCATGTACTGAAGGTGACCACTGGGGTGGTTTTAGTGAATAAGCAGGTAGTAACCCACCCCACACTCCCTAGTCCTTATCTCCAAGTGTTTTTGAAAGTGTCCCCCCAAAAAATGGAATAGACAAAGACCGGATATTTTATAGGCTTCTCAAATCTAAAACTTTTGCAAACATTTTGCGACAATTCGACCGGCGAAATAATCGAAAATAAATACAGGATGAAAGAGAATTCGTGGGCGATAATTCAAACTAAGGTGCTGCTTGCGAAAATTTAATTATCACCTTCGTATACAGTATAAATTGAATTAGTATCTTTATACTAATAGTAAATATTGCAAGTCCAAAATACTTTATGATGAAAAGAATTTTGAATAGTGTCATTTAAAGGAGATCTGACATTTTACTATGGACTTTGATACAGGTGGCGCATGGCGGCAGCCACAATCTGTTATATCTATATAAATAAACTGTTTATAAACAGACTGCCTCGTTGACCGAGTGTTCGCAACTACGACTGTCGGGCAAGGGGTTTCTGGTTCCATTCCCGGGTCGGGAAAAATATTATTGGATTAAAAAAAAAATCAGTAGTAGCACGAAGTCTGGAATTGTCCCCGGTGTATGGCAATAGGCTCACCACCCACGCTGCTCATGAGAAAGAACCCCTCTGTGGTTCGAAACTAGTAGAACTTTTCTCAGTATATTTATTCACATAATTTAGTATGTCTCACGATAGTTATTATAAAAACACACAATAAAAAGTTCATGTTGTGTTGCAACGCAAAAGATTGGGGAATTGGGGATGGTTGTGGAGATTGGTTCTCCAGTTACCTCACTTAAACGACGAAACATAATACAGACGTTCATTCATTCCAGTTTCTCGTGAGGCCGTGGTATCTCCGGTCGAGCCGGCCCGTGCCTATTTAATTACACCATTTTAAAAGGGTTTTTTTTAAGGGGGGAAAATCATCGAATGACTGCTCCCGCCTGGGTGAGGCGGGAGGGAGTGTCAGACTCTTACTGACTAAAAACCACCCCGTTCCTTCTCCTGCACGTCGAGTCGGAGCCCCGGTTACCCGTTAGGTTCTCCGCGACATTTTAAAAGGGTATATTTGCGTTATTATGCAATAAAAAGATATACAATAAGTTTGTGTGTATTAGTATTTTATTAATACCTTGTAATGCATAATTTATTTATGAGAATATTTTTACTTTTTACTCTTATTATAATGTACTTAATTTACACTGACTGAACTAATATTAAAATTGTGTAATACAACTATACTATTCTAATATGTTGCCTTTCTTTTGGTTTCCTAAAAATGTATGTACACATTTTTAAACGATTTCATAAATCAAAAGATTCCTTGGTTTCTTGTTTCTTTAATTTATTGAACACCATTTTATCCGAGTGATTTAGTCCATTGGTATTAACTTTAGGAAATAACATTTTTCTCGCAAGACAAGTACATTTTGCCATATTATCATTTGTTTAAACTATATGTTCATCATCATCAAATGTATCAGGTACAAGTGTTGTAAAAATATACTACAGATGTGCCCATTGTCTCCATACAGGGACACCATCATAAATTCTAACTTCCCGCTAAGCAGAATTGAAAGTATAAGGATATTCTTTAATATAGTTCTAATTGACACTATAAGCAAGCAATAAACACAATAAAGTTTTATAAATTTTCATAGTAACATATTATAAAACGCCTCTCTTTTCGAAAATAATTCCCACTTCACTTTCTCTTGATAAAATTGACAATATGACCCCCTTTTTGTAGCAATTTGTCAAGCTTCTAATAATTTTAGGAAAGTACTCCTCATTAGAAATACCCATGAAATGTGAAGATAGCTAAAAAAATTAAATACCAATGGGCAGAAGAAGACCTGTTCCTGTATGAGGACGGGATCATCAAGAACCTATAAGTAGCCACTGCTGACCAAAGGCCTCTTCTCACATAGAGGAGGTTTGAGCATTAATCAATGTGGGTTGGCGATTTCAAACTTATAATAAGATATTATAAAGGTTGTTAGCGATGATTTCTTTCACAGTTTGTCAGTGGTGTCTAGATAATCTTAGAAAGCACATATAACTCGGAAAAAGTCACATTGGTGTTTGCCGTCGGTAGGTTTCGTTTCCGCACTCTCATATATAAGAAGCAGGCCACCACGACATAGTTAACGGCTAGATGTTGCTGTTGTAGATTTAAATTCAATATCACATCAGTATAATGAAGTAGTAAGTTTAAATACAAATGTTATATATGTTAATGTTTTATTTACAGTGAGTTCAGTAAATCCATTAAAATATAATCGTCGAATATGTATAATAGTTTAATTTCTATTTGCTTATTACAATTCATGTTAGCCAACATACACTTAATTTATTTTTTGACCTCTAAATTAATATTTACTAAACATAAACTTAAAATTAACTATTTATAAATGTATAATATAATTTAAAGCATCGATTGATTGACATTTTAGAACTAATTTCTCCTTTCTAAGCTGACGAGGGATCCGGAGACTGGTTTCAGCAAGAAGTCTATCTTTAACTTCAGGTCAGTGATGTCAGCTTTGATCTTGAACCGCCGTAGTACGTGTGATAGTGTGGTCTTCATTGATAGTGTGGCGAATGTCCTTCCTGCAAAGATAAGGTGATATTTTGAGTATTTGATCTTTGAACTAGAAATTTGTATTGTGAACCCGATTGAAAAAGAGTAACCTATGGAGTTTCTTGCTTGTTCTTCTCCATAGGAATCTACACCTTGGAATGAGCAAATAGCTTCTCTTTTAATTTTTTGTTGTCATTCAAAAATGCCTTTCTGGTCTAATTGGAATAAATGATTTTGACTTTGACTTAAATAAGTTTTAGTTGGTGCTATTTTTCAAACGTTTTCTAAATAGGATTACTCTTTTCGAGAGAGACGAATATGAAACTAGCGATCTACGATCCACGGCTTCGTAAGCGTGGTCAAAAGAAAAAAAGTGTTTGTATCCCTCTCTATCATTCTTATTATCTCCAGATATAATCGTAGGTACCATGGAGGCATGGAATCAATTTATAGCAACGAGAACTAAAAAAAAACACAAGCAAACAGGCACACCATCAGAACGACCATCATACCAGCCACATGTCGTCAACTATTAAAAATATAGGCATTCAATGCCATTGCTGAGGGCGTCCATTGATGTGGATATTAGTGCAGCGGAATACGTCCCTGTTTACTATTGCTTATTAATATTGAACCTAAATACTTATATAGTTATGTATGACTGTGTTCTTCCTATTAGTTTGATGGATCTCAGTTATCTTTTTTTATATTAGATGAGACTGACATTTGACCACTATCTGTTATACCTTCAGGAAATACAGAGTCTGGCCTTTGACAATTCCACTCCTTAGCAGTACGCACAAGGAAGCTCGATGCAAAGCGCTTCGTGCGTGTGGGTGGGACATCTACCATGAATCGGCGACACTTCGGCGATTGTCTTGTGGTACGATGATGGAAAGGACTAGGGGGAATCGAGTCATGCAATTCCCCCTCACACTCTCCAAAATGTATCCGGTAGAAGATTGAAAGGCTTGCAACCTTACGCCTGTGTTCGAGGCTTTGACTGAATAAATAAACTATTACTATTTTTCTTTTTGATATTGTATTAATGTAGATCGTAATAATATTTACTAATGCCTCAATGACTTCAAGAACCATGTTGGAGAGCCGATTGCAGGGAAGGTAACCTACAAGCGTCCGATCTGAATGTTACTACAGGGACAGGTCTCTCTGGGACGTTTCTCAGTTTGTCCACAAGTACAGCATTAACAAAAAATAGAATTTATACATACCCATGCAAGCTCTCTTTCCAATACTGAATCCAGCGAACATGTTGGGGTTAGGGGCGTTGTTGGGGTCCAACCAGCGCTCAGGTTTGAATTCCCTCACGTCAGGCCCCCAGCTCTCATGGTAGTGGATGCCGTAGATCAACAGCGCACATTGACTGCCAGCGCGCATTGTGTAGTTTTCTGGGAAAATAAATAATTATTGAAATATAAAAATTGAATAGTAAGAATACTGCGTCGTTGGCCGAGTGTTCGCATGTGGAACTGCCGGGCAAGGGGTCTCGGGTTTCATTTTTTTTTTAATAAATTTATTCATTGAAATTTTACATAGGTATTGCCTTAAATCTAAACTCCGATTCCCGGATATGGCAAAGTATTACTGGGTTTCTTTTTTAAATTCTCATTAGTAGCACAGAATCTGATTTTGTGTCTGGTATATGGTAATAAGCTCACACTAACATGGGACTCATAACGTATGTTATACATACACTATGTAAATAGTGAAATCTGGATGCTCCATTTTACAGTGGCATTAAGTACCTACCGTAATGTGCACCTCTGCCTACCCCTTCGGCGATAAGAGACATGATGTTAATGTTATGTTTTATAAGTAAAATAGTCAAATCCGGGTATGTCTTTAAACTTAACGTGCTAACTACGGCTTCGCAGCGAAACGGCGTGAAATAACGCTTTGTTATATTGGTTACATAAAGGATCTATTTAAGTATTTTTGTAATAAATGCTATTTATCATTTGTACAGGTATTTTGCACTTGATTTTTTTTTCACAAAGGTATGCATAATGCATATAGCTGCATGAATATGAGCCGCTAGCATGGCTTGAAACTAGTCGAGTTCCTCGTCAAACAATTACGCGAATAAGCCTAAAACATTATAATTAACACTTAAAACTATGTAGTACTTACTCAGTTGTACATCTTTGTCGACATATCGTAATCCTACAGGGCCAGTAGGGATCAGTCTTAGAGTCTCCTTGATCACAGCGTCAGTGTACACCATTCTGGGCAAGTCATCCTTCGTGACGTCACGGTCTGTACCTTCGAATATTTCTTCTAATCTGTAAAGGCGGAGATACAAGGGTAAGATGGGGTTGAATGAAGATGAAGGTTCATTTGTTTTTTTTATTGGTAGATTATACCTAGGACCGAAAAATACTCAACAATCAACAATTGAGACTAGGGTAAAAATTATTTATAAGGAGAGAAACTCAAGATATCCTTTCAAAAGGCAGACAAGGCATTTGTTAGTCTTTTAATGTAAGATCTCTAACAGGTTCTGGACAAGTGTGGGAGAGCCAAGCTTCGTCACGAATGGGCCGGGTCAACTGTAGTGGTTCGTCGTGTGAATAAAGTTACTGGAGGCTAAATTACCCCTCTCGCCTTTCCCAATCCCTGAATCTCCAACAACCCTCAAATTCATAATCCCAAAAGGTCGGTAACGCACTTGTATCGCCTCTGATGTTCCAGGTGTCCATAGGCGACGCCGATTGCTTACTGTTAGGTGATCTGCCTGCTCTTTTACCGGTTTATCCCATAAAAAAATGGGCGGGACTAACCGTTAAGGATAAGGCTGTTCGATCCCTTAAAAACCTAGTCCAAATGGAACACTTCATACCTTAATACATATTGGACATGCACATAACATATTGGATTGAAATTAACACTTACTCTCGGTACATCTTCTCTTGTGCCTCAGGGTAAGTTCCCAACATCATCATAATATAAGCGAGCAAGCAAGAAGTAGTGTCATATGAAGCCACAATAGCGGTGTCCACCTCTTCCCTGATCTCCTTGTCCGTGAGAGTATTTTCTTCTGCCAATTCCAGTAGAAGGTCCATCAGGGCTTTGCATTTGATACCTGGAAAACCATTTTAGAATTTAGAATCGTAAGTATATTTTGATATGATTGAAATTCGAATGTGATAATTAATTTTAGGGTGTTTGAGAAGTAATGTGACTTGAAAACGCTCGAATTTTTGGAAGTACTAGTTTTTCAATTAGTCCAACGTCTGCCTCACATGGGGGTAGGCAGAGACTATGGAACGCCAATTGCTACGATTCTTACATAGATACTTCTTTCGCTTCATCAACAGTCATCAGTCTTTTCATGCATGCTCGTCAGTTAAGGTTTAGGATATTGTTTTTTAATGTTTTTTTTACCTGTGCGTTGACGCTGTGCTTCCCATTCTTCTCTGGGTAGACTTTGCATCTGTTCCTTTTTCCTTTTGATGACCTGAAATCCAATTAAAACGAAGTTATAAATTTAACATAACATAACATCACACCTTTTATCCCCGAAGGGGTAGGCAGAGATGCACATTACGGCACTTAATGCCATTATACAATGTAACACCTACTTTTCACAATCGTGCCAGATTATAGGAATCATAACATAAGTAGAGAAAAGAGAGTGGATAACATAGTAACTGGTGAAGAATGTGAATTTTTACCATTAACAGTATAAAATGCAGATTTATTGGTTACTTACAGCAGTAGACATAGCATTCAAAACTTTGACTACTTCATCTTGCTTCTTCCTGAGTTCCGTGAAGCTATAGATCAGGTCACTCTGCAGCCAGAAGTTGGAGAATCTCATCGCAATGATGTTCAGGATCTGGTCGACGGCTGCCATGTAAAGCTTGTTGAAGTCCTTGTCTTCGTCTGCTGTGATTCCGAAAGCAGTCACTGGAAGAATAAGAATAAGAAGAATAAGTAAGCAAGCCTATGTTTAGTAGTCAACATGTTGTTATCTATATTTTTTTTTATGGCATGAGCCGGTAAACAAGCGGACGGATCACCTGATGGTAAGCAATCGCCGTCGCCCATGGACATCTGGAATACCAAAGGCGTTACAAGTGCGTTACCGGCTTTTTGGGGATTAGGAGTTTGAGGATCGTTGGGGATTCAGGGATTCGTTGAGAATGGCTGGACCAATTTATCATATTTTTTTTTGTTATGTATATTATTGTCAGGGCAAGGTACTTATGACAGAAAAAAAGTCCTGAAAATCCTACGGAAATTGGAGAAAACAGAATTGCGCGTACGAAGTCGCGGGTAGAAGCTAGTTCTATATAAATGTCTTTGTGAAGCTTGGATGTACAAAACCTTAGTTTGATATTTCAAATTCGGTAATTACAGTTTTTTCAAAGGTTATAGAAGAAAATAATTGACTACACTTGTTGTGATACTCACAGCATACTGTCTCTAAAGCGATATGCTTCAACGAGGCAAGATGGTCGAATTTCCCGCGTCCGACTTCAGCGTCGAAATGGTTAACTTGACGTCTGGCTTGAACGTTGAACACTCCTAAGAAACTGTGCAGCACTTGAAGACTGAATGCTGGGTTCAGGAGCTTGCGATGTCTCTTCCACGTGGGGCCTGATGAAAGAAAATGTACTTTATGTTAGAGTGTGTAAGTTTTTAATGGAATAGTGGGCAGACAAGCAGACGGATCGCCCGTAAACGAGTAATGTCGTCCGTGGACAACATTTCATGCATCGAGGAATGCTTGGCTATTTAAAGAACAGAAGTGAAGTTCCCTAATACCGGAAAAGGAGGATCCTCTGACTAGGGGTGGTGATCGTATGTGGTGGTCTTTCTGCCCAACAGTTGTTCGTTGGGATTTTCTGTACATGTTTGTTCACATGTAAACTTCACATGTGCGATTCGTCTCGTCATGTTGAATTGATCGACTGTGCGCATCATCTGACTTCTGTCATTTGTCGATGTGTCATGTGTCACTATAACTAAGCACCTCATAATTATTATTAACATAACATCACGCCTTTTATCCCGAAGGGGTAGGCAGAGGTTCACATTATGCCACTGTACAATGTAACACCCACTTTTCACTATTTATGTTACGAGTCCCATGTAATAGGGGGTGAGCCTATTTCCATATACCGGGCACAATTCCAGACTCCGTGCTGCTACTGAGATTTTTTTTAAAAACCCAGTAATAATATAATTATTATTATTATGACCAGTATATTATTATGCGGCATCTTCCAAATGCAGATGAGCAATATTCATCGCTGGATACTAGGTATATGAAGAAAGAAAAAGAAAGAAAAACATTTATTCAGCACCAGGCACGATGCAGCATAAATAAAATATAAAAAAGACAATAAAGGTGAGACAGTGGAAGTAATAAAAACATTGAGTTGAAAAATTAAAACAGAAGAATTAGGAAGAGAGACGCCGACAACATGCCTATGCTAAAAGGGTCACCCACTCAGTATAAGCCAGGCATACAATACAAGTCACCCAGCACTGATTTTCAGTGGGCACCCATAATACGTAATAAGTATACATAGTAGATACAGCAATGGAATACTTATCAATAGAATAAATATAAAAAGTAATATAAAATAAAATAATAAAAAAAGGAAAATGTTAATAAATAATACACATGACAGAATAGAGCATAGGACACCCGGTATACCTGTGTTCTGCATCAATTATACACTAAATTGGCTTAAGTTAAATGATAGACAAATCAATATTAAAATTAATTGCAGCCTTATCTTTTAGCGAAGATGAAATGAAATTTTTGAGATTGTATTTAAAGCTATTAATACTTGGCGAGTCTCTAATAGGTGGAGGTATATTGTTCCAACATTTGGACGTTGCGTACCGGAAAATTATTTAAATAAATTATACCAAAAATTATTGGAATAGGTACTCGGTATGTGTCATTGTCATTAGATTGGAATTCATATAGATAATTTTAAGTAACTAGCTTTTACTCGCGGCTTCGCTCGCGTCACAAAAGGATAAAAGTAGCCTATGTGACATATACCAATACACACAACGCCACCTATACCAATTCTTTTATTTTCCCACGGGAATATCAAAGGTTTCCGGGATTAAAAGTACCCTATTATTTATTCCGGACCTCTAACTTTACGCCTGCAAAAATTCAAAGCAATCGGTTTAGAAGTTACGGCGTGAAAGTGGAACAAACAAACAAACAAACTCACTGTCCCATTTATAATAGTAAGGATAAAACTTGTATTTAGCGCAGTCAGGTAATTTCCAACCTATTTAATTTTATGACATTTAGGTGTTAAGGTAATTCCAAAACTCAGGTGGAATTTCCATTTTAATATTAGAGCTTAAATAATTCTGACTTTTGGACATAACAAAATTCCTAGCTTTACTTACAGACAGAATGACGGACAACTGAATGCTTGGCTTTGATTTCATTTCTTAACCTTGGATTTTCCAAAACTAAATCAATAATACTACTGCAAGTCCATTAACTTTTTCGCAAACTGGTTATTTTATTACATTTTTATTGCAATATTGTTTTTATTGAGCTGCATATAAATGATTTAAGTATAATTAACATAGCCACATGTTTCATTTTATTAACAATTTCCTTATTAGTCTTTTTGTATGGAATTTCAAGCTTTCATCAGATAGATGATTACAATTTACAACAAAGACAGAAAAAAGTTGACGAAATTAATATAACATAACGTAACATAACATCACGCCTTTTACCCCCGAAGGGGTAGGCAGAGGTGTACATTATGTCACTGTATTATGTAAGACCCACTTTTCACTATTTATGTTATGAGTCCCATGTAATAGGGGGTGAACCTATTGCCATATATTCCAGACTCCGTGCTACTACTGAGAGTTATTTTAAAAACCCAGTAATATTTTGCCCGATCCGGGAATCGAACCCGAGACCAAGGGGTCTTGCCCGGCAGTCGCACTTGCGACCACTCGGCCAAAGAGGCAAATTGTTGAATGCAATTTAAGTCTGCTTCTAATTTTATTATATTCTAGCCAATCCGCCGCGTTGTTCGAGTATTCCAGTTTTATCCCCTGAGAGAGTTTAAACGGGATACTTATAAATTATCCTATCACCTAATTCAGCCCATAACCTGCCTCCAAATTCCATCAAAATCTATTCAGTAGTTTCAGCGTGATCATATTTGCTTCTAATAACATAACATACGTGTTTCATTGCTTTTCCTTTTTCATTACCAATTTAATTTTCCTAATAAATTTACAATTCCTAACCTTATTATAGGACAATTTATCGAGTAAAGACAAGAGATTTTCCTCAGTACAAGCGACTATTCTCCGCATTATATTTAACTTGATTTTATATAAATATTTATGAAAAATATTAAGCGTTGAATCTTAATGAGAAACTAGAAATGTTGAATATTTAATATAGAACACGATTTTCGTCGTCTATCTAATCCGGGTGGAAACAGAAATTAAAATTCTATTAAAATAATTCAATTTAAAGAAAAATGTGCCTAAATCATGATAAGTATGGGAGAGCCATGCTTCGACATGAATGAGCCGGCTCGACCGGAGTGATACCACGGCCTCACAGAAGACCGACGTGAAACAACGTTGCGTTGTGTTTCGTGGTGTGAGTGAGGTTATCGGCGGCCCAATTACTCCCCCCCCCCTCTTTCCCCAATCCCTGAATCCCTAACAATCCTCAAATTCCTAATCCAGAAGGTCGGTAACGCACTTGTAACGCCTCTGGTGTTCCAGGTATCCATGGGCGACGCCGATTGCTTATCATCAGGTGATCCGTCTGCTCGTTTACCGGCTTATCCCATAAAAAAAGAAACGCCGCTTGAAAGTGACAAGTAACGACTAAACTTTATTTTAATTTTATAAGAAAAATAATATGGACAAACATAGACAAGGTCTATTATGTTCGTCTTGCTGTCGTCCGTTGCATGTCGCAACAGAATGTTTTTATGGTACGATTTTGCGTTTGGAAATAGGAGACCAGATGGTGCTAAAGGCCTCTTTACAATTTGACCACATGACTGACACATCGGGATATTGGTGTTTTTTAAAATACAAAAAAAGAATTCATGCACCTATGTCAATAAAGTAAAATTTCATTAAATCCCACTTATTATACAACAATAGTTTCTTATCGAACTAATTTAAGTATTTATTAGTAACTAGCTGACCCGGCAAACGTCGTACCGCCTAAAAAATATTTTTCTCACCTTTTAAACCTTTCCTGGACTTTCACGAACCTTTCAAGACCAAAATTACCCAAATCGGTTCAGCCGTTCTCGAGTTTTAGCGAGACTAACGAACAACAATTCATTTTTATATATAGATTACTTTGCAATACTCTGTAACAATTTGTAATTATGCAGTATATCAAAATAGATGCCTCACTTAGCTACAAAGTTGGCCAAAAATATAATATATCACCTATGAATATTAAATGAAAAATATGAAAAAACATATAAAGCAAAATATATCGAGTTGATTGCCCGGGAATTATTGCTTTATTTCAGTGTTCCGAAAATTCTTCATGAGAAGAGTCTCTCTCTGTGATTAGAGTATCATAACATGAAGACAATTGATGTTTTATCAAAATTTGTCCATCAAAATAACCCTTTTAGCGGTTTATTATAATAAAATGTCAATTACCTGAAGCCAAGACAAGTCCTTCGCCCATCCATGGTTTTCCAAAGTCGTATGCGAAGTGTTTGTGCAAACACGCATTAGCTGCCGTCACGCTGTCTTCTGGGTCAGCAATTACTGGAATACATAAATATAAATAATTAATAAATAGTCTCCCGGTAAATTTCGATTATGGTGGCCAGTCTGCATAAATAGATTAGTCCATTATGCAAGAGATATTATAGTGAACAAGTGTATGCGTAAACACAGGTGCACTCTCTATTCCATCACTCCCTTAGCCTTCGACAAACAAGGCTGGGTTATTTCAACCCCAACACTTTTAAATTGATTTGAATGCATATTAGAACGTGATCAAGTGAGTTGATTTCAACATCAAGCAGGCATAAGACCAACGGTCTTACGGTGATCTCCGAGGCATGGGAATTAATAAATAACGGTACTTGTAATAAGTAGGTATACAAAAAACCACAGCTTGTTTTAAATGGCGTCAAGTTTTTATATTCACATAATTATTTTAACCACAATTCGCGGCGCGTTTACTCAAAGCGGCCATTGTTGATTTTTTCTACTAGTCCTTCAAGGCTATAAAACATTGAGAACCATACATAATATTTTGTTTGTTATTAATGTTAATCTCGAGTTCTGATTTAAAATTTCAAGAAAAACATCTACAATTTTAATACAATTAAAACCTCAAAACTTTGACCAATTTTGATTGTGGTCATCTCAATGAGACTTGCTAATATCACTACCACTAACATAAGTACCTTCACGTATGAAATTAAAGGTGTCAGTACGGACTTTTATTCTTTACGGATGAACAATTCACAACAGTAATTCAACTCGACCAGCAAGGTCAAAACTTTTTCAGACAACGATCAATGGCGAGTAGCAACATAGCTTGCTACCTACCTGTGGGCTTACTCTTGAATCCAATTCCGATCGATCGACATTGGTATTGTGAAATGTCGTACTCTCGAGTGGCAATACTAGCGCCCATTGCGTCCGTATTACGTGAATATTTAATGAACTAAATGGTTTTGAGTTTGGGTTTATATTCCGTACTCTGAATGCTATATTAACAGCTACAATAGGGATTGTATTGACATTGACATTGAATAATTATTGAGATTTTATTGGATTGAAATTGCATTGACATTGAGATTGGTTTCAAGAGTAAGTACCCTGGTCTTAATGGATCGAAAAGCCGATGTTCTTAGAGGTATCTAAGTACCTCTACTATGCGACATTAAAAGTATCACTAGACCGCTAAGGGTACTGTTGATTCTGTTTTTTGTGGGGTAAGCCGCTAAACGAGCAGACGGATCACCTGATGGTAACTAATCGGCGTCCGTCGCTCATAGACACCCGGAACATCAGAGGCGTTACAAGTGCGTTACCGGCCTTTTGGGATTAGGACATTGAGGATTGTTGGGGATTAAAGGATTGGAAAAGGGAGGGTTATTAGGCCTCCAGTAACCTCACTCACACGATGAAACACAACGCAAGGGTTGTTTCACGTCGGTTTTCAGTGAGGCCGTGGTATCACTCCGGTCCGGTATTCGTGCCGAAGAACTCTCCAAAACTTATTTGAACAGTTTCTGAAGAACTGCGTTTTTATCATTTCATTTTATGCCACAGCTTAACGCATAAACCGCCACGTCGTTTACTGGTGACAGACCCTTAGCGGAGAATATGGAACAGTTTTTTTTTCAAGGCGTATCATACTTTTCATTTATCACTAAGTCAATCACCTTAAATCCACGACTCAGAATGTCAGTGGAGTCAGGGAGGTCAGACGGTAGGTATTACGAATTAAAGAGAATTTCAATTAAAATATTTTCATTCAACAATACAATGCATAAATTTCAATCTAAAATATGATATATGTGACTTAAATGATGTAACTTTTTAAAAACCTTGATCGTGGTCAAGGTGATATAATATCTTAATGTATATAGGTACCTAAAAAGCATTAATATTCGAATTCTGATAAAACACTCTATGGATTATAATAATATACATGAATAATCTCTCAAATGTACAAAACAGGTTTTATTTTCTATTATTATGATAATTTTAGCAAGGTACCTGTATGATGACTTGACAGATGGTGTTAAAATTTATGAGACTAATCGGTTTAAACTAAACAGATTAAATTTCGATACAATCGATTGTAATAATTCTTTGTTGTACTCTCAAAACAACTGAGGCCACAAAAATCTATAAATCACGTCATCGTCATCAGGTTAAGGAAAAGGGTGTGGTGTTCCAAGTCCAAAAGCCGTAAGAACCTCTAACAAGGCCAGGTGACCATGCCTTTCTTTTTGCGGGTGGAACATCATCGAGTGATTCTCCCGTCCGGGTGAGGCGGGAGGGAGAATCAGACTCTTACTGACTAAAAACCACCCCGTTCCTATTTCTGCATTTCGAGCCGGAGCCTCAGCAAACCCGTTAAGTCCGTCGCGGCTCTTTGTCGGTATCAGCCCTATTAGGTCAAATCTGTGGTGGTTTGATGGCTCTTTGCTGGCGGTACGTGCGGTAGGTGATCATGCCTGGAGGAACTGGATCGAAGCGAGACTGCGTTCAGCGCTCTGACTGATTGATTCATTGGTGCCAATCAGAACGCAGAACTCGAATTCGATTACTTTAAATTTAAAACATACTAGCCCTCCGACTGCCCGATAGTTACACTTTAACATATAACAGTACAATGACTTGGTCGTCAGGTCTTGTGACCAAACTCTACTTCACAATTTTATATCCAATTTCAATATCATCTTGAAGAAATTTCAAATATTCTCTTTCGTGTAGGGGCTATTGGATAGGAGCGGTTCAAGATCGAGCACTGTGATATGTTATTCAATAAGTCGCCAAGTTTAAGAATGCCACCCGCGAACGGAAATGTGCTTTGCGGTACTGTAAGGGGTCTGAAAATCAGCCCAATATTTTTGAAGGTTGTCAGATCAAGTGGGTGTACACGCAATGATTTTTGGATTAGCCAAAAGCATTATTGGGGTTAGGTGATTTTTCGAAAATTCTATTATTTTTATATAAATGGCGTGTCTTATGTATAGTGTACAACTTCATTTTTTTTTTATATTTAATATGTTGATGTTTGGCCACCATCTCATACAGTACATACATACTGTTCAAATAATTATAATACTTACTGTAATAGAGATCTTTTCCAATGAAGCCGCTTATGACTCCACCATTGTCCAATGCCTGTTTAGCTAACAACTGCACCATAGTCCATAGCCCTGGAAAACAAAACAATACGTTTACTTAGTTATGGCAACTCTACAAACTGGAAAGGATAATTTGGTTAGACACCTCGAACATTTGTGGTCTATACCTACACAAAGAATCATTGAATAAACGTAAAACCTTAGCAGGTTGTTTTTTAATAGGGGAAAATAATCGAATAACTTTTCCCGCCTCGGTGAAGCGGGGGGGGGGGAGTGTCAGACTCTTACTGACTAAAAACCACCCCGTTCCTACCTCTCTACTTTGAGCCGGAGGCCCGGTAACCGTTTACGTTTTTCGCGGCTTCGTATCCGTGGTGTCTGGTGGTCTGATGGCTCTTTGAGAACCTTAGCAGACTTATTGTCAGATCTTAGAAATAACATAACATAATATCACGCCTTTTATCCCCGAAGGAGTAGGCAGAGGTGCACGTTATGCCACTGTACAATGCAACACCCAGTTTTCACTATTTATGTTACAAGTTGCCATATACCGGGCACAATGCCAGACAGATGAATTTTTAAAAAACCCAGTAATACTTTCCCCGACCCGGAAATCGAACCCGAGACCTCTTGCCCGGCAGTCGTACTTGCGATCACTCGGCCAACGAGGCAGTCTCGATCTTAGAATTAATAGGAGATAATCTGAGTTTTTCATTAAAATTGACTCGTTTGCCAAAAGTGCCAATTATGAATACAAACTAGGTACACAAAATACACAAACACAATATACGTAGACACAGAGCAACAATTTGTGGATCATTATTAATACACAGTAGCCGTCTAGCCCCTGCTACAACTGTGCAATCATCACAAGACAATCACTATAATTATTGCTCCTACTAAAAGCTAAAAGCTAATCTAAGGTTATGCATTTCATTTTATTTATTCACACTCTCTTAAAATTATAACGGAAGCTTGCACTCCGAAGGTTACGTGTAGAAATAGATATTCGTATTACAGAATAATAAATCGCTTTTGTTACTACCTCTATGTCAATGACTGAATGACGTTATTGCGGAGTCGAAACTAGTGAAGCTGAGGAGATGAATTTTTGAATATAGGTTTGTTGTTTAGGGAGTCTCCCCAATCTCCTTAATCCCCGAATCCCAATCAATACTCAAAATCCTAATCCCGAAAAGGCCGGTAACGCACTTGTCACGCCTCTGGTGTTCCAGGTGTCCATGGGTGACGCCACTTGCGTACTATCAGGTGATCTGTCTGCTCGTTTACCGGTTTATCTCATAAAACGTCTAGGTGAACAAAAAGAATACTATATAGACGTCAGTAAAGTAGATCAACTTATACTGCATACCAGGATTTCTGGCCACCGTAAGCGCGGGCCTGCGGACGGCGAGCATGGGTGGCTCGCCGCCCGACCAGAACCAGACACGAGCGTACGGCGCGTCGCGTTTCTCGCGCGCCTCAAAGAACCATCAGACCACCACGGATGGGGGAGCCCAATAGGGCCGATATTCCCCTTTAAAAAAATACCACTGGATAAAAGATATTTTCATAGTTTTAATGATATATGATTGATTTAAAATATCATTGAAGAATTTCCGAATTGTTCGTTTGGAACCGTAGGTAAACCACATTGACAAAAATACATGCCATGCTCGTATATGCACGTCATCGAGTAAAAAGAGTCGAGTAGCCGTTGTTTAAGACGACCTAACCAACATGTTTGAGAAGATTTAAATATAGCCTGATTTTATTTTTAAAGGTCACCAAATACACATTTTGAACACATTTTAAAAATAAAAGCTTTTTTAATGTCCTGATCGTACTATTTGTAGTAATGACAAATAATTTATTATAAGTAGGTATTTTTTTTTTTTTAAGGGGGGAAAATCATCGAATGACTGCTCCCGCCTGGGTGAGGCGGGAGGGAGTGTCAGACTCTCTCTTACTGACTAAAAACCACCCCGTTCCTTCTCCTGCACGTCGAGCCGGAGCCCCGGTTACCCGTTAGGTTCTCCGCGACATTTGAATCACAAATTGTTGAATGAATTTCTATAGGTACAGCCTAGGAACACAATGAGGTCTATTTCAATTCATTCCATTTTCAAATTGGAACTGATTGTTCGAACAAATAAAAAAAAATTTTGTTTCCTATGTTTGATAAACGGGATCATTGACACTGAATAGGGTAGACGACTAATTTTTATTTTAATGTCCGTCTGGTTGATTATTTTAAATCATTAGACACGTATTTTTTATTTTCTTACAGAAACGCATACTTTCCACGATATATTAATTTGAAATGTCGTGTGACGTCACTTTTATGTAGAGGTACATTTTATACGTAGAAATGACGTTTTAGCTCCTAAACTTTGATTCGTTTTATCTAAGTATTGTTTTATTATACGACAAAATAAAAAAATACGTGTCTAATATTTTTTAAATACCTAACTTACGGACTAATTTAGATTTTTAATTTTAATACCCTGTTGTCATCCCAATTAGATAATCTAAAAGATCTACTTCATTAAGATCGTAAAAAATATTATTGAGTTGAGCAATGAACGGTGAGAGTGGATAATTGTAAGTTGTTTCTAACTGGACGAACTAGAAAACAGAAATCGCCTCGTGATTTAATATACTGAGGGACGGCTAGGCCAGTATGATGATGACTAAAGCGCAAGTAAGAATTTTGCTCAGTTAACACAAGTAGGCTCTTCGTTTATCACAAGGAGCACATAACCTGAGAGTTCAGTTCGAGTTTCATGTACGTGTAACGAGATCGAAACTGTACATTATTTTGTTATACTTTACTGTACTTACTTTTTGTTCTTTTGGAGGAAGAACCCCTCTGTGGTTCGAAACTAGTAGAGCTTTTCTCAGTATATTCACGTGAGTAACTCGCGATTTTTAGTTAATTTATAATCTTTGTTTTGTATGCCAATTGCCAAATGAATGCCTTTTCTTTTCTTTCTTTCTTCTTTCAAAAATGGTTGGTTGGTTCATTGGAGCAGGCCAATCAGTGCGCCTAACCCGAAAGTTTTGATATCGTTCACCGTAAGATGAATTTGTACTACGCCCTATGATTATAGTGTAGCTGTTGCATGTAAAATGTCTTCATCGACTGCTTCAAAGATTAAAAGACATATCGTTATGTATTATTTTTCATTCATTACAACAAGTTTTTAAGTTGGCTGCGCAACATCGCCTCGACCGCGCACGCTGCTCATGAGGAAGAACCCTTCTGTGGTTCGAAACTAGTAGAGCTTTTCTCAGTATATTCACGTAAGTAACCCGCGATTTTTAGTTAATTTAGTATGTCTCACGACAATTATTATAAAAACAGAGATAATTTACGTATCATTTATTGATTCCCTGTAGTTTATGTGTATTTTCACCATTCACGGGACCACAGGGTCCCAGTCATTCGGGCCGAAGCCAACAGCGCAGAGGCCCTTTAGACAACTTTAATCTAAATGTAATGGACACAATTTAACTCGTCGAGTACCGTCATTATAGACACAATTATAGAACAATAGGTTGCGGTCACCGGTGACCGCTTTGTGTTTGACAGTTTAATTATTATTACTTGTTGTAGTATTGTATTGGCCAGTTTGTATTTTTCGCGATTATTTGTGGGAACCAATAACTAACTTTTGGTTGCATTCCACATTCTATTTAATCACATCGTATCATTGTTGGTTTCCCTAATGTATAAATAAATAAATAAATAAACAGTTTATGTTGATATTCACATTTAGGCTGTAAATGAAAGAGTTTCTGTGAGCATTGACACAATTCTTTGATTGTTAACGTGCCTAGGCCGATTGTAGGGGGCGTGTCTATAAGAACATAAAGCCTTTTAATTCTTTTAGAGTCCGAAGCATATATTTTACATAAAACACTCTTACATTAGTTTGTATTATAAGTTATATGTTATAGAGGATGAGCCTAGCTAGTTTGAGCAAATAACTACTTAGCAACAAGCGATTCTAAGCTTTGTTGCTATTAATAAAAGTATTAAACTGAGTATTTAACTCGTCGAGTACCGGTTTTGTAGACACAATTATAAAACAATAGGTTGCGGTCACCGGTGACCGCTTGGTGTTTGACAGTATAAATCTAAATGCATGGTCACAAAGAGATAGTCGGGCTAAGTAACTGGTTGTTTTTTTTAATTCTCAGTAGTATCACGGAGTCGAGAATTGTGCTCGGTATATCGCAATAGGCTGACCCCCTATTGCATGTGACTCACAACTTAAATCACTATTTATGCTATGACTATAGTTAAAAGTGGGTGTTATATTTGACTTCTCTGCATCACCCAAAGGTCAGACTGGGACAAAATGCCTGCGGCATTAAGTCCACCTAGTGTACACATTGTGCATGAACCTTAAATAAATAAATATATTGTACAATAGCATTAAGTGCTGTAATGTGCACTTCTGCGTACTCCTTTTGGGATAAAAAGACGTGATGTTATATTATATTTAGAATTTGTAAAAAATGAATAGTATAATTAATGATTGACGCATTCAAAACGAATAATTAAAAAAATTAGAACGTTAGACTGAGTCTATAATTAGACCATAACGGTATTGTATCTGCATCATAGCAGCTGCTAGAAAGTTAGACGACAAAAAATAAACTGACTATTAATTAAAAAAAGTTGTTCGCAAAATGCTAATTTTTTTAACTAGAATGATCTGTCAAATATATAATTACTAGCTTTGCCTTTTTTATATATTGAATTCAACTACAAATAACTAATAACGAATTTGCAAGCAAGCTACACAAATATCACACATGAATATGAGCCCTAGCGTGGCTTGAAACTCGTCGAGTTTCCACGTAAGATAGTTACGTATGTGAGTGAATGTACAAAAATCTTTGAAAACATTTGAAGACCAGTCTGTAATCCTTAGGCCGCCTATTAAGCGTGAATATTATACGAAAGTATTATGCCAAATTACACTACATAACATAACGTCACGCCTTTCATCCCCGAACGTGAAGGCAGAGGTGCACATCACCTTTTTTTTTTTTTTTTGATGACGGGGGGAAACCTTCAAAAGGCGCCCTGCCTTTTTGGGGATAAAAGACTAGGGAGTGTGGGATTTTTACCTCACTAAAACCACCCCGGTGGCCACCCTCAACACCTGAATGGAGGCACCGGGTCCTCTAAAAGAGAGCACCGGGTCCTCTAAAAGAGAAAAGGTGCACATCACCTACGGCACTTAATGCCACAGTATACTGTAACACCCACTTTTCACTATTTATGTTATGAGTCCCATGTAATAGGGGGTGAGCCTATTGCCATACACCGGGCACAATTTCAGACTCCGTGCTATAACTGAGAATTTGTAAAAAAAAAACCAGTAACCTTGCCCAGCACTCGGACTTGTGATCATTCGGCCAACGAGGCAGTCTAAAGAAATTACTACTAATAAAAATGGCATACAAACTTACGCGTAGTGTTTCCAATGAGTAAATGTGCGTGGCCGATAATAGGCAGTAGTCCAGGGTACATAGGGGGCAGCTTATAACTCTTTAACCGTCGATAGTTACTTTCCCATTGATACCACGCATACAGAAAACACAACACAGCACATAAAATTAACGCCAACATTTTTAAAAAATGCCAAAAAAATTTATTAAACAATTATAAAAATTTAATTCAACATTAACATTCGTTATGATAATGCACTGTAAATTATATTTCAAAATATGAATATTAGGAGGACTGCTCAGTATGAAGGGTTATTCAAGAATGTTAGATTTTTGAATAGGATAGGAATAAATGCGGAATTAGAACCGGTCTCAAATCTACAACTGTGATACATAGAACAACGTTTTAAAAATGTGCTGGTACAGTCTTGTGCAAAATTTTTCAAAACTAGTTTACGGACAAAGCTGTTTTAAATTAGTTGCCTGCCTAGCTTTTTGGTATTTATTGAGCTAGTTTTGTTTATTCGACTGCCACGTTTGCCGAGTGGTTGCCAGTGCGACTGCCGGGCAAGGGGTCTCGGGTTCGATTCCCGGGATTTTTAAATTCTTCTCTCGGAGCCCCGGTAACCCGTTAAGTTCTCCTCGGTTCCGTATTGGCATCAGCCCTATTGGGCCCCATCCGTGGTGGTCTGGTGGCTCTTTGAGTCGCGCGCGGAACGTGACGCGCCCGACGCACGGGACAGATTATGGTCTGAATTAACAAATAGGCTACTCTTTATCCCACGGAATCGCAGGCGAAGCCGCTTGCAGAAGCTAGTAATTCATATTTTTAACGACAAATGATGTATTTTTTTAAGGGGGGGAAATCATCGAATCACTGCTCCCGCCTGGGTGAGGCAGGAGGGAGTGTCAGACTCTTACTGACTAAAAACCACCCCGTTCCTTTTCCTGCACTTCGACCCGGTAACCCGTTCGGTTCTCCGCGACAGAGTGTGTGTTTGACAATATGATTATATTTTGATATGGATATTCTCATTAAAATTATAACGAACAATGCATCGCCTTGCCGGTATTTTCCGTAACTAATTGCCTACTGTCCTATTTTTATTTAAACTGTATTTTTATTTTAGTCTTAAATTTACAAAATATTAATTAGGTTCTTGAATTGTCGTTAATTGTATTAGCTTTAATTACCCGCATACATACATAATAATTATTATATATTTAGTTTTTAAAAGATCATTAAAAGTATACAATTTTGATTACAATAAATTTAAATTTTAGTTCTGGAGTGTTCTTGAACGCATAATAATTGTTTAATTACAACTATTGTTTCTTTTCAAATGTAGGTTTTAATTACCTCTACAATATTTCTTGCTGGTATCGATTATGTAAGTGACTGTACTGTACCACCTACCAATTTATGTTTTGACGGCTAATCTAGACCCCAAACTGGTTGCACTATGTAGGTATGCACTGTACGTACTGTTACATATAATATATTATTATTATACATGTAGATATGTACTAGATATATACAGCATATTAGTATATGTATATTAGCTTCTGTGGCTTCAAAAGTAGCCTCTATCTCTGTTTCATACTTCATATTCCCGATTCTTTCAGGCGTTTTGACGTGACAAACAAACAAACAATGACACATACAAATTTTCGCGTTTATAGCATTAGTAGGATTTGCATGATTGTATGTTTTATATACGTATACGTGTATATATACAACTTCACGCCTTATCCACGAAAGGGTAGGCAAAGATGCACATTATGGCAGTTGATGCCAGTGTACAAAGTAACACCCACTTTTCACTATTTATATTATAAGTCCCATATAATAGGGGGTGAGCCTATTGCCATATACCGGGCACATTTCCAGTCTCCGTACTACTAATGAGACATTTTTGGTTGTATCAATTTGGATTAAACTTTCACTAGGTGAAAAGCTCTAGAGAACTCTACATCCTTAAGGCATTTGTGTTGGTCTCAAAGAAGGCTAGGTTTATTATATTTTGCACACAAGTGATGAGTTATTTTTTATATTAATTTAATTTACAACCTGACGTGTTTGCCTCGAATTTTTTACCATTTACGGCGATATAATAAAATTAAATTAACTTCAATTTAACGCAAAAATAATTTAAATTATTTAGGTCTATAATCAAGAAAATTGCTAAACGATTATTTATTAGATCATCGCTCGGGGATCGAAGACTTTTTGCTAGTTTTTAATTAAGAAAACTATAGTTTTTACGTCTTTGTAATTTTTGATCAGGTAGTGCCAATCATAATGTGTGGATTTGACATGTATGGTGAGAAACAAAGGGATTTAATTATAGGAAAATATGTAAATATATCAAGGTAGTACACAGGCCTACACACCCACGATCACAGCAATGTAATCAAACCAGTTAAATTGACGAAAAAACTACTAATAACATGATAAAAAAATCGTTTGTTTTTTCCCCTTTGTATTGCACGTGACTAAGTCACATGGATGTAATTTTTGTATATGGTTAAGTTTGCTGGAAATTATTGGGGGAAACCTATTTATTTATATAGGTACCTACACTTAATAGGACCGACGACATCGCCAGAGTTGCGGGGTGGCTCCCCGCTCTGTGGATGCAAGTGGCGAGTTGTCGTTCGACGTGGAGGACTAAGGGGGAGGCCTTTGTCCAGCAGTGGACGTCTTTCGGCTATTGATGATGATGACACTTTATTGTATACCACTCAAATTTATAGGACATCAACAAAAATAGTGTACAATGGGCGGTCTTACCACGCGAGGCGATTTCTTACAGATAATCGGTGAATGGAGCAGTAATAGGAGTTTGATATGGTCGTCAAGTGTACAATATTTCATAACTGTTTAAAATGCTATACATACTATATTATGGAACGGGGTGGTTTTTAGTCAGTAAATGTCTGACACTCCCTCTCGCCTCACCCAGACGGGGGCAGTGATTCGATGATTGTCGCCCCTTAAAAAAAATACATACTATATTAATATTCTTATATAAATTAAAAAAATATAATGTAAATTTGATATATACATATGTAATTTACATAATATTGTGTGTTTGTTTGTGTGTGTGAGGGTGTGAATGTGTGTGGTTAAGATGGGAGATAATAATATAAATAGAGGTAATGTTCTTTAACGAGTTTTTCAAATTGCTCTTGGTTTGAGGTCGCCTCAATCGGTAAAGCTTTTCACAACCGAGCCGCTTGCACTGTAAAGAATTTGCCTATGTTCAGTAGTGCATGTCTCGTAGCTGACATGATGATGAAGTATGATTCTAATCCTCATGTAATTAAAACGAATCGCAATGAAGTTTTAGGGAACAGAGAGTATAGTTCCCTAATATCGGAAAAGGAGGATCCTCCGACCAGGCGAGGTGATCGTGCCTGGCGGGCTTTCTGCCCAACAGTTGCTCGTTGGTATTTTCTATCCGTGTTAAATCCAATGTAAACTTCGCATGTGCGATGTAGGATTTTTATGACGTCATCCGTTAGAATGTACCATGTGTCGCCACAAAGTGATTAGAAAAGTTAATGTGTAACATATAACTTTTGTCTTCATCTAGAGGAGAAGAAACAAGAACAAAATGTTTTTAGGTATTGAATAGAGGTAAATAAAATATATAATAGATATACTCTTTTGGGGAAAACAGGGACGGTAAAATAAGTTCAAAAGTGCAATTTGATATATAATTTATTACTCAATAATTCCCAGATCTGACTATACCTAAGTACGTATCTACCTAACAATAAAACTTACCTATAAAAATTCCAAAGATCGACCAAACGTTTAAGATATCGTATCTCATTTAATTTTCTAGTTTATCAGACCATACTATTAGCAAGGCTTTGACCGTTCCAGAGGTCAATGTGAAGTTATTCTTATTTATATTTTTATTAGGTATAATTTAGAAAAACCGGATCTTGGCCCACCTGGCCGAAGTGTCCCATGGTGACACATTGTAGAAATTTTGGTTACCATACCTACCTATGTATATTAAAAAAAATTTGTCTTCTCGCTGTCATGATGATTTGTTAAATTTTTATATAATGCGAAAATGGATAAGGATGTATGAACACGCATAACCGCTAAACGGATGTATCAAGTTACATTATAAAAAAAACACAATTAAAAAAGTTGTTTTTTTTCGTTGGTATTTTTTTTATTTGTTTATTAAACATGTCCTCCAGGTGATAAGCGATAATGTAACCGACGATGGAGCACGCCTACTGATAAGCAACCTGGGAACACAGACTCTGGCAACGAATTCCATTCGTTAGGTTCACACTTGCACCCTTGTTTTGTGGGAATTACCTAGATGAATTAACTCATTGAGTACCGTCATTATAGACACAATTAAAGGACAATAGGTTGCGGTCACCGGTGACCGCTTGGTGTTTGGTTAAAACTAAACTTTTGCTTTTTTTCAGAAGAAAAATAGAAAAACTTACTACAAAACTCGGAAAATCAAAGCCATATCCGAAGCAAGCTACTAGTCAAATACAAAATAATAGTTACCATTTATTAAAAAAGGTCCCTTTACTTAACGATTTATTAAATTTAATATTATACAATACTGTTGCCCGCGACTTCGTCCGTGTTGAATATGAATTTGAGGACATAACTTTCTTTTTGTTTCAATTTTTATTAGTATCCTTAAATACTCCTTAGTACATCAGTTAACTGCCAATAAAAGTCCCGTCAAAATCGGTTCACCCATTCCGGAGATTAGCCAGTACAAATACACTGACAGACAGTCAAGAACTCTAAGAAATGTTATTTTGGTATGTGTATATCGTAAAAAGTATGTAATATTCATGTGAATGTGGTAAAAAGCGGTCATTTAAATATTACATATAGACAAACCAATTGTATTTATCTGTATAGATAATTTATAATAGATAGGCAATGGATTTCGTATAGTTTTGAAATAATAAGTTTGAATTTATGATTTCTTACACCTGCGTGTTAATTTCGACTGTCTTATTAGTGAAGTGACCTCAAGCATGAATAAAATTACTGAATATAAAGTGTCAGGTTTTTGATTTCCGGGTCAGGTACATAATAATAATTTTTGGTTTTTGGATATTTTTTGGAATTATGAATTTTGTGGTGGTTTGTAAATTGCTCCTACTTTATTATAAATAAAAAATATTAAAATTTTCGTGAGACATACTAAATTAATTAATATTATTATGTTTCCGTCTTATTCACGTAATTGTTTGACGAGGAACTCGACTAATTGCAAGACATGTCAGAGGCTCATATTCATGAATAGCATCCGCAAACCGCGACTATGAATCAATCAATTACTTTATAATTATATGATTAGCAACTAAAAAGACAGTATCGCATTTTAAATGTTCCAAAGAGGTAAAGTAGATGTGTGAAGAGGGATGTATCAATAACTTCAAAACAAGTTTTTTAAGGGCGGAAAATCATCGAATGATTTCTCGCGCCTGGGTGATGCGAGAGGGAGTGTCAGACTCTTACTGACTAAAAACCACCCCGTTCCTACTCCTGTACTTCGAGACGGATCCCCTGCAACACGTTAAGTCCTCCGCGGCAACTTCGAAACACTGGTTTGTTTTGTAAACAGTTTTTTTTTGTAATAACTACACAAGTCAACACAAGTACAGCTGCGTAAATTAACTAGTTATTTTAATTACAAAATAAAACAATAAGTCGTTTTAAAGTTATCCTAGAAAAAAATCAACAACTATGCGACGGTAAAAAAATTAATGTTTATTGCCGAAGCCAGTTATGTGTGTATTTGCGGAAGTTAAGTTTAAGTAACATAATATTAAAAATATTAACATCATATTTAGAAATATCGAACCTCATATAGCTAAGAGGAAAACCTGGGCTTATAATATCTAATTATGTGTCGACGAAGCTTCACCGATACACGGTGAATGTCCCACCCATACGCACGAAGGGGTTCGCATCAATCTTCCTTGTGCGTACTGCTAAGGAGTGAAACTCTTTGCCAGAGTCTTGTGTTCCTGAAGGGTATAACCTGGGTGTCTTCAAGGTCAGAGTGAATAGGTTGCTTATGGGATGACGTACTCCATCGTAGACCACCTCATCGCTTACCACCAGGTAAGATAAAGGTTAAACGTCGCCCCATCATATAACAAATCAAGACAACTCTTATGAGTAGTACCTTATGCCTTATAACCATAAGTTGTGTTATGAGTCCTTTAAATCATTATTTCATTTTAACATTAACATTAATATTACATTACATTACTTTCTGGTTGAGCTAGTCTTACAAATGTCGTGAAACTCTGTAATTGGCTTAAGTCATAATTGTCATCATCTCGTTATCACTGTGCAGCGTGTGTCGACGTGTTCTAGCTTGTATATTATGTTCTTCCTTTCATTAAGCTGCATAAGGTTGTGCATTGATAGTATGATGTGTATTCCCAACTCATGTAACTACATTAATAAGCTGTTGAGTTTCCAAAATAAAGTAATATTTTTTTAAGAATTAAAAAGACAAATCATTATTTGATTTTAGGATTTGAATTGAAAGTCATATTCTTGCACTGCGTATGATTTTAATAGAGTGCTTTCGTAACTAGTTTCTTCATGACATATCATGTCAGAACGTCTGCTGCAATGGTTCCTGATACACCTAATCTAATAATAATAATAATATAAAAGATCATATTTATAGAAACACATTCCAATATTGTTATTTTAAATGCACACTTTTTTTTATTGCCAATCTTGTCTTTACTATTTAAGCTGTAGAATGTAATAATTTTCTCACGTGGTATGAATGGGTCGGCTCGACTATAGTGAAGGTCATTGCACACTCAACAATCACGGCTATGGCACGTCTCCAACCTAGCATTACCATCGTCATTTAAATATGAACTTTTGAATCGTATGGTGAAAGACATATGTAATCACGTCAATATAAAAAAGTCTTAAGCGCGCCGTTCGAGCGCCGGCGGCGTGCCGGAGCCATGCCGGACCCGTGCTTATTAGGTGTGATAACCTCATACTGCAGCCTCACAGGATACAGGCGTGAAAAAACGCTTGCGTTTTGGTTCGTCGAATGGTTACTGGAGATTCAGTCTTCTTCGCCACCATCCCTCAATAACGAAATCTATCTCTTAAAGACTAACAAAGTACTTGAAATGTTGCGAGCGTCTATGAGCGACGGTTGTTTATCATCAGGTGATCAGTCTGCTTATTTGATGCCTTAGATCCCGTGACAAAAGAATCAATTTTGAAATTACGTATTACATAGATAAATTGGTAGAATTTTTTTACTAGATTACAAATTGGTGTTAGATTACATAACGACATTTACGTGTAGGTACAGCTTTATGTCGTCCAAGAATAGTAAAAACGTTTATGATTATCGTACAGTGCAAGTCATTGTACTTTACCTAGATAAAGTATAATATTTGAAACTGTTCTTTTTACGTAACAATTAGTTTAGATTGTCCTTTAAAAATAACGACATTTATCTAATATAACTATGGTACGTGAATTGGTTCATAATGCAATGCTTAGGATTTTATTGCCACTGTGAAATTGGGTTGCGAATTTTGTATGCAAAACTGTAGCTTACCATTCAGCATTTTTTTGTATTAAGTTTGCTTGTGGTTTTATATCATAGCCTATGTAATCATTAATGCAATTAATCGTATTGTCATATTCTTATAAATATTGGGTATTTAATATACTGTTGGAAATTTTATAATCTTTTATGTTATTTCCAAAAAAAGTTTTTTTGAATACATGAAACAGGTCTACAATAAACCAATAACCTTGAGGTTAAAAAGGTCAAATTTCTGAACTGGTTTTCAAAAAACTGTTGCTTTAATTTTAATGTTTCTATCTAAGTACATAGTTTTTGACTGTGTTGTGGTCGTGGCTGATCTTTCTTCTTCGTCTCTTATGGTGCAACTTCATTTCTGAAGGCTGGCCGTCAATTTTCTGAATTGGTCCTATTCATTGGAATGGCGGAAACGTTGTTCCACAGAGCTGATACCGGTCCACTTTCGGATATTGTCACGACTTTTTCCATCACCCAGCGCTTCTCTTTCCTTCCACCTTACCCGTCATTATAAAATGAAGCAACAAGATAGTCTATCTTGCGCTTTTTGATGGTTTGGATCATTTTGCGTGGCGTGTGGACGCGCTGGAGCACGGTATCGTTCCTGACCATTTTATAATAATAATAATAATAACAGACTCAACAAGTCGATAGTGTAAAGCACTATCGACTTGTTGAGTCTGAGGTACCGTACTACAAGTATGTGCCCGACCCAGTTCTGGAAAATGACCATATCACGTTGTACTGGGACCGGTCTATCATCACTGACAGGACTATTATAGCCAACAAACCTGATATAGTGGTGATAGACCGACAAGTGCGCCGCACGATGATAATCGATATCACTATTCCTCATGATGAGAACCTCGTGAAAGCTGAAAAAGATAAACAAATCAAATATCTTGATTTGGCTCACGAGGTTGTCGACATGTGGAATGTAGATTCGGCTATCATTGTGCCGATAGTCGTGTCGGCCAATGGGTTAATCCCTAATAGCCTCGACAA